CGAAGTTCACTTTCGGAGCACCCTTTGTGTCATTTTTGTTTGACAGACCACGCTGTGACAGTTGGGTCCGGCGCGGGCTTCTCCATCCGGTGAATCTCCCCGATTAGGACTGTCAGCTGTGGCCACGCCCGCTCTTCTCAACTTGCTCGCGCTGCACCAGACCGCTTTTAACAATAGAGACAAAAGTAGGATTGAAGAGGATTCGCGTTTGCAAATGATGCACACTTGTGGTAATCGCAGACAGGACCAGCAGTGGCGCAAACGTGCAGAATCCCGCGCATCGATGGTACATCCTGGCAACACAAAAGCATCAACCTTTCAGAGGAGCAGCGAAATACTCAACTGGAAACTCGAGGAGTTTTGCTGCTCCATTATTTCAAACAAAGGACCCAATTTTGTGGTGAACAGTGCCGAGACGTACCGGACCACGTCTGACAGCATCTCGCTGCGGACTGCNGACCCAATTTTGTGGTGAACAGTGCCGAGACGTACCGGACCACGTCTGACAGCATCTCGCTGCGGACTGCCCATCGGTCCAGAAGTGCGAAGGCGATCTCGACAGCCCCGTAGATGAACAGGCAAAGAGCAAACAATGAAACGATGATGGACGCCAGCGAGACTTTCTTGGTTACGACCAGCCAGAAAACCAGAGCTGTTGTCCCAGTGACAAGAAGCAGGGAAAGCCATGCCTTTACAGACGGGCTAAGCATTTGCAAATCCCCTAGTAATGTCTTAATGGCGGCGAAAAGTCCAGATGCTGCCACCAGATATATTGCGCAGTCCACATCTGCGGACTGTATGGAGCTGACGGCAAGGCATTCCAACAGAGCACACGATGAAATTCCTTCCAGGTTTTCCTATGTTTGTAACCCTCGTACGCATGTATACGCCAACTATGTACATGTATATGATAATCATACTTATGAGGTCACCTAGGAACAGTAGATGCGGCAGGGGGCATTCGCAACTTTGCAGTCTTACGTGGCAACGCAAGAAGTGATACCGGCAGCAAGGAGAGGAAATCGTAGAAGTCGAAGCACAATAATAACTTTGTGATGCCACACGATGTTACATCGCTGTTCCATCTCTCCCCGCCACCAAGACACCCACGATTCCTTTGGCATGCCCAGTTCCTAACACGAAAGGAAAGCGGCAAACTATTGTTCTATGCACTACCCCACGTGGGACGAAAATTTGACTACTCAAACGCATCAAAGGCAATAATTTGAAATTTCGTGTGAGGAAAAAGAANGTGGGACGAAAATTTGACTACTCAAACGCATCAAAGGCAATAATTTGAAATTTCGTGTGAGGAAAAAGAAGAAAGACCTACTTGAGAGGATAACCAGGCATTCCAGCTCGTGAAGTCCTGTCGCAGCCTAGGATAGTAAAATCCCAGGGGGTTAAAGATGAAGGGCACAAAATTAATTGAAGCGGCCATTAGCAAAATTGGCCACGTGTCGAGAAAAAAAACACCAGCATCAAGGCCAGCGTACTGCACAATCATCCACAGTAAGAACGCGAATAGATCAACAACGGCGCGCTAGAATTATACCTCTTCATAGGGTCACACATAACCGAATTCATCTGCTCACTGCCAAGTTTGCCTGAGCTCCATCGTAGTGCAGAGTGCTTCTTGATGCTGGTTCTCCTCTACCGTTAGCTACGTTGTTATGTGCAGGAGTACCTATATTATAGGCCTACTGTGGCATATATGATCAAAAGGACGAACAGCTCCAAGCCTATGGAAAAATGGGTGAAATAGAAAAACATCCAAATGTCCTTCAATGTTGCTCGCTCTATAACAAATCCTCGGCCAGTTTCCTGGTACTTGGCCCCTCCGTAAATTAACACGTGGTCTATGACGGATGCCTTTGTGCAGGCTGCATAACACCATACCATATGCAACGTGGCTTGTTTGTGCCCGTGACTTTCGCAACCCATGTATAGGGGAGTACTCAAGCGTATTCGAAAGTGTAACGGTCGACGCCTAATGTTAGTTTAGAGATGGTTGTAAGCAACGTCCACGGACGCACTCATGAAGTTGTAATATGTCACGGAAAACTTGCTGATGAGGTCGACAAGCTTCCGCAACGCCGATCCAAGACCCTTCTCTAAAAACAACCACGGTATGAGTGGTAGCACGAGCAGCATTCCGAGCTGGAACTGAACGTAGGTTGAAGGAGTCAAAACATATTCTAGAGCGCTTTCAATTGGCCCGCTGTAGTTGTACTCTGCGTTGCAGCAAAACACGAAGTACACAGAGGGGTATCCGAGTAGAAGGCGCTGATTTGCTGAGGATGATGAAAGCTCCTCTCACCAACTACACCTTTAAAAGGTCCGGAGCTGCACCAATTCGCGCCATTGTCTGTGGC